AACTTTTAGGCTGCGTTTGGAGACAATGCAAATACGTAGAGTGTAAAACAGTCCATATAAATTGCAAAATTGGGTTAGTTTTGTACTAACAAATTTACCTTCTTACCAAACAGACTTTTAGCTGTAATGGATGCAAACATGAATTCCAACAAAGCATATGCCCTTTTTTTTATCAAAGCCCACTTAAATACAAATTTACTTCTTTTTTATTAATGTACTTTGACATCTTATTATCAATGTAAATATGTATTAAAAAATGTATTTTTTGTCATTTGTCAATGAATAAATATAATATTATTGTCAAATATAGGCAAAAATAAATCAAAGTGTAAATTTACCCATCGAGATTTACACTTCATTTGCATCATTTCCAAATGAAGCCTTATAAATTGCACAAAAACCAAGACAAATATCTGATTTGATTTGTGTATTATAGATGAAAAATAATAACTGCAGAGCCTGAAACCTTAACCCAATCTAAGATCTTTCAGGCCGAGCTGAAAACAATCACCCTCAGTGATATGGCCAGACGCTTAATTGGCGTGCATCTGCTCTGTCCCCCCACCCTGAATCGACACAATACCCCACTCAATCCACAATCCACGTAGAGAGCTAAGAGGACCAGGTCTATACACCGACAGTATTACATAATTATACAACTGTCAAGTAGAAAGAGAGATTCCATCATCAATGTTTACGCGTTGAGAAACCGAGTAGATTTCCTTCTCTAACCATCATGGCCCATAGATTGCTAGAGCAGAGAGACAGCTTTTGATTTTACTCGTCTATCTCATAGGATGTCGTCTACTTTATTTTCTTGGTCTTTTCCTCTTCTTTCCTTTCTGAACAACGCTTTGGATTAGGGATAATGACATATATGGAACCGGTCTAATAGCACAATATAGTGAGCACTTTTGCTATTTTTATTTTCCAATTGGTACTGGCTGGCAGCTGGCATTCACCCAAAGCCAAAAAAAACTTTCATTAGTATGATTGATTCATTTATGGGCGTTAGTATATATTGATTGTAATGATAATATCACCAAGACAACTAGATAAACATGTATTGGGAATATCTCCTGACGATGCCTCATCATTTCTGGTATTTATTATCGAGAGGTGTTTTTATTTTTTAATATACGGTGGGAATGTGCTGCATGTTATAGGAAGTTGGGCGCTGATTTGAACCCTAAATACTTGAAAACATAAATTCTTTTTTTTTTCTTTTCTTTTTTTTTTTGTGTCAGGGAGAGGGGATTTAAGATAAGAAAGAAGTCATTTTAAGAGTCGAAGAACTGTAACTTATTTCTAATTTTAGGAAAAATCCATGCTGCTAGAAAGATATGATACTAGAAGGCTTTTGACCGATTAATATCAAAATACCATCTGATTGGTTACCACTTTTACGATAATGGTGTTGCAAGTTTTTCCGTATCATAGTAAGATATATTCTGACAATCCCCTGTGAATTTTAATGAATGCCACTTAATTGGTTATCACTTTTATGATACTGATCGATTGGTTATAAGGTTTTCTAGTATTTTGACTATGGTTTTTAAAACTGACCCGGAGATCGAATCGGTCAGGGGTCCGGTTACTGGGTCGAACGGTCCGACCGTTCTAATTGAACGCTTGGCCCGTTCTAACAAAAAATAAAAAAATTAAAAAAAATAAAAAATGGTCAAAACCGTTCGAATGATTGACTGCCTGGTTCAGTGGTTCACCAACCAAAATCAACGGTTTTGAGGGAAAATCCGATTTTTGGGGAAAATGGAACTAGTCACCTGACCGGTTCCCGATTTTTTCGGTCCGGTCTGATTTCGAAAACCATGATTTTGACACTATCTGTTTTAGGTAATCAATTTACCCATTCAAGAATCAAGACAATTTAAAATCTATATACTTTATTAGGGCCGGACGCCAGCTTGAGAGGGATGAAGGGTTGATTGAGCTGCTTTAGATAAGGCACTGAAAAAGCTTCAGAGTTCAGACAATCATTTTGGGCTCTTTGAGGTTTTTTCTATAATATTTTATAAGGCTTTACAGGTGGGCCCCACCTTGCAAATCCCCCTGCATGAAAGCTCTCCCAAACGGGCACTTAATTTGTCTCAACTATGTGCCACCTTGTTTCCCTGCCCATCCCTGCCCATGAACCATGATTATGTTAATGCTCTCAGGGCATGATGATATAATGACTCTAATGCTTGGTGCCTACGTTCCTCACAAGGTTCAAAGTATTAATACACCCTAATACGACGAAAGGGGTGTATTGATACCAATGTTTTAAAAACTAGGGGTGTCCATGGTTCGATTAACTGAATCATAGGTTTTTTTAAACCAAACTGGTATTATTGGTTTTTGGAAAACTGATAACTGAAACTGAATCGAAATCAATCGATTAATTGGTTGACCAGTTTGGTTAATCGTCAGTTCGGTCTATCGATTTTTCAGTTTTTTTAATTTTTATAGTATATATTATAAAAATTATAACTATATATAAAATATTATATTTTAAATAATAAATAATATATCATATATTATAAATAAATATATATATATATGTAATGCATATTTATTAATTTATAATATATAAAATATATATAATATACAAATATATAAAATATAAGTATACTAGTCGGTTCGGTTAACCGTCGGTTTTCTATATTGGTTAACCAAAATCGGACCGGTACCTTCGATTTTTTAAAACACCAAACTGAAACTGAACCGACTGGTTTAGTTAACCGATTTTTTTGTTCGGTTTCGGTCGGTTCGGTTTTTCGATTTTTTTTGCTCACCCTATTAAAAACTAACTTTGGAATTGGAACTGTTCTGACCACTGGTTTTTGGGTAAATGGTTCAACCATTCGGTTTGAATAGACGACTTGTTATAACAAAAATTTTAAAAATAAAAAATAATTAAAATAAAATGGCCAAAGCCATTGAACGGGTCAACGGTTCAACCACCTGAATCAACGGGTCATTGACCAATTCAATAGCTATTGGCCAGGAACCGGTTTAGGGTAAAATGGAACTGATTGCCTGGACGATTCCTAGGCTGAATGGTCCAACTGTCCAAGTCAACAATAGTTGACTGATACTTTAATTTTTTTTTCTAAACTTTCTTGGGGAGCAGGGGGGCTTTTGATGTTATAAAATTCTTTCTTAAAATACCTAAAACAATACACCTGATCTAAATTTTGACCTTGGTTCCTCAGCCAATTATCGATCATCCTTTGGTAATAACCCCGCGATGCACATTTTAATCACTAGGGATAAGTGGACTGCAATCCACCTCAGAAATCTGAATTGTAGCCCCTCCTATAAACCACATCCTGCTCTTGAATTTGACATCAATCCATGGGCAGGAATCAGTCCACCCCTAGAAATCCTAACTCCACCCTAGGGGTGGACTGAGGGAGCTCCACTAGAAGACTTGGTCAATTTTAGCCACATGGAGGGGCATAGAGGTGTTCATGGGTCAGGTTGGGTCGGTTTGAGTCATTTTCTTCAACCGACCCAACCTAGTTGGTTTACTTATTGACTAAACCGAAACCAACCGACCTTGAAGCAAAACTGACCCAAACATGAATGGTCGGTTTGGGTTAGTTTATTGGTTTAGCCGATTTTTATATATATTTTAGTTATTTAAATTTTTATGCAAAATCAAAATATATATTTAAATCGACTAGTTTTTTATTCAAAACTGATTTTTTTGTCAATATATATTTAAATTTATACAAAACTAAATTAAATATTGTACAACTGTATTATATTTGTATTGGTTTTACGTTTTTAGTTTTTATCATAAATAACCAATTTTTCAAAATTCAAACAAAACACAAATAAAATATACCAACATTTAACATATAAGATAGGGACTAATTAATAATTACTTAAACATATAGGATCTCAGACCCTCTGGTTGACCATGTGTTGAATCGGCAATCTACATCAACTCTGAATTGGGTGAGATCAAATTGGTGCCCCACATGCACATCTCAGCATGTTTTAGGAACATCTCATGTACTTGTCATGGGGAATTGAGATCTGCTCCTTATGGAGCACGTCTCAACCACATTCCATCCTGAATTGGAAACATCTATCCATGAATAATAAATACAAATACATGTTCTCAATGTGCGGCCAGGACATGGTGTGAAACGCGCTCTATGAGTAGATCCGAACTCGTCATAGGGAGATGTTCCCAATACGTAGTAGCCATCTGTTTTTTTTTTTTATTTAAATGGTGCCCATAGAAGGAGAACCTGTAATAGAATCACAGGATTTTTTTTTGGAAACTCGAATCAGAGGAATTTGAAAACTCCATTTATGCCCAAAACTTACTTGGCATGTGGTTAATTCGTGTGTCAATAACCCGACTAGCATATTCAAAGAGATATAGATTGTTAGTGAGGTTTGGGTATCGGCAAAAACAGCCGATTAACATCCTTGTTTCAGCCTAATGGGCTTGATACACTCACAGATAGATCCTCATCTAAATATGATCTCATATAATCTTATATTGACTAAAGGCTCACGTTATATACGTAAACAATTTAAATAAATTATATTCAGCTTAATTTTTATTAGTTTAGAAATCATAATGGGTGAATGTGTAATTTGCATACAAATTATAAATTATAATTGGATCATGTCCTAGCGCATCCATCCAATCCATCTCAAAACATTCCATCCAATCCTAGCGCTTCCCAAGCATATCAGAAACTCTCAATAGATTTCTTATAATTGACTTTCTGAGTTTTTCATTCATGTCCAGAAGTACAAAAAGAAACAAGGGAACGCAGCAGTGAGTCAGTGAGTGAGATTACTGGTAAGTCGTGAACTTGTAGCAATTCTGCAGCTAGACCATGAACCGTATGTTCTGAATCTCCTGATACTAGTAAAGTCTAGACCCTGAAGCTTATCCGTTGTATCAGAAACACAGTAAGAGTGAACAATACATGTCCAAAAAAAAAATACAAGCACATTATCAAAATATGGAACATGGTGACTGCTGGACTTGAAAATTCTCTATCATCAAAATTTTACACCTCAATTCAGTTTCCTTCCTCAGCTCATTTGATAACAACCCAAAACCGATTCACTCTCTATCTATGAAGAAAAATACAATTCAAAAATGCAAAGTTCCCTCCAAAAAATTAAAATGCAAAAGCATGCAACGTAAACTGCTGCAGAAACTCACCTGCAACCGAGCTTTGATATCTCCCACAGTGATCAATAGGAACAAACGAGAAACACTCCAAACTGTCAAATAGTCATGGAATAACAACTCACAGATAGATTTTACTCTGGAAGTATCTGCTCATTGTCTGCATCTCCTTCTTCCTCTATTTTAGGCTTTGATGGAGCTTGCCCAGCTCCAGGAGCTTGCTTCTTCTTGATTCCACTCACTATGTCATCAATCCTCAGAAGCATACAAGCAGCCTCGATTGCTGTCTTGAATGTTTGTGCCTTCACATTATATGCATCCCATATCTAAAATTGTATCCAAGCACATTGAGAAGTTAACAAGACTCAATACCACATGGAGAAAAAATGGGAATTGATTAAAGAACAGGAATATGACTTCACACTTTTTTTCTTTCATATCCACTATAGCACCAGTGTTCCCATCAATACCAATCCATGGGTTCTCACCATTTGCATGCTGCAGAAACAAATCCACCACTTTCCAGAAAATCATTTATTTTACCATATCCTTAAAGATAAGAAATTTAACTTCATTAACGAGTGAATAAAAGGCCAAAGTGCAGCTTTACATTGTACCACCCCACTCCGAAAGATCTAGTTGCAGCTTTTACTTTACCTTGCCTTGCAGGGCAGTCATTGTCCGTATCACATTCACCCCACAATTCTGGGCCAGAGTTCGTGGAATTGCTTCAAAGGCTATTGCTGCAGCTTCATAAGGCCACTGTTTGATTATTCAAAAAACAGGCATAAGCTTGGAACCAGAATAAACACCCATAATAAAGAAATAAGCAAGTTAATTTGCAATTCTTCCAAAGTAGATGTTCCAACTCCCTTAAGCATACTTGTATGACTAGGACAAGCTTTTCATAGCTCTCGCACATGATTTGCCAAAGCCAGGCATCTGCCCGATTCATGGCAATTTCAGACATACAACTAACAGTACTCCATGCACAGATTATGTATTTATGTTGGGGCCAGAGGGTTACTAGTCAGTGTTAAGAGGAATTGATGATGGGATCTGATCCCAAGTACAAATCTCCCCAAACTTTACAAGCTAGCTAGCATGCAAATATTATAAATAAATCTAGCAAAAAAACTCAAATTTTCCATCAAATAGTTACATTTATAAATACCATAGTTTACCTTTTCAATGCCTTCAACAGAAGAGCTCTTCTGCTTCAAAGTAGCAGATACAGTTAACTCTGAGGCACCCCCACTGGGAACAAGTTTTGGATTTTCAATAATGTTTTGTGCTACAGACATGGCATCCTATAAAAGTACATTGCCATTCGGCATAACATTTTGGAACAAAAATAAGGTCAGTTCTAATAAAATTGTGGAACATGAAAGATAATTGCTAGCAAACAAGTTTATGCAATTACTGAATTCTTTGCCCTATGGAGATGATGAAACACATGAAAAGACACTGCAAGATAAGGTTGACATGTCTTTTCATGGCTCCTACTTTGTAGGGCAAAGAAAACAAACAGTTGCATAAACTCACTTTTATTGGCATTTCTCCATAAATAAAATTCTGCAAAGCAACTAAAATGGTACTTGTAGATTCCTTTCAACTTCATTCAGCAGGTCCTTGCTGGCACCTCTTAAAAGAACTGTACAAGCTTTAGGGACTTTGCAGTTGTCAATAAAGGCAAAAAACTCATCTCCAATCTTCCTAACTTCAAAAAGTCCAGCTCCGGTTCCAACATCAGATTCCTGGAGTTCATCTGGTTTGTTGAGAACAACTGCTCCACATGCCTTAGCAATCCTATTATTATCAGTTTTTCTCAACCTTCTGATAGTGCTGACTCCCGCTTTGCTCAAGAAATGGCAGGCTAGATCACCAAGTCCCTTTTCTGTAATTACTAAGTCAGGCTTGAATTTCAGAATTTGTGCACAGAGGTTCTCAATGTACTCTTCCTCCATTTTGAGCAAAACTCCCCTGTGAAATCACTTGTCAGAAAATCAAGTAAATTGCAGCTTCTCGTGGTATTATCAGAAACATGGAATGTGGACTGTCAGTGAATCAAATTCAGATTGGATGTACCAAGTTTTTTTGCTTAGATTTGAATTCATATATATATATATATTGGAAACAGTAACTTCATTAACACAAAATTAAGATACAACTGTCAACCCCTAAAATAGGGTGTTGAGCCCAAGTAATCTGAATTACAAAATTATATTAAAAGAAAAAAAAGAGGCTACAAGAAGAAGTCACCCAAGAGAAAAAGGAAAAACAAGACTTGGCCTAAAGCTCTCCAACTCAAGCCCTCATTCCAACTCACAACACCACAGCCAAAAGAAAGAAAGACAACTCACAAACAACGAAAGCCCGGACAAAGAAACTAAAACCCAACTTAACACCACACAAAACTTCAACCGATTACCCAACAACTCCAGATGCTTGCAACTGATCCCCTTTACTTCTTTTACAAACTTTTTTTAATTTTCTTCACCTTCATGTTAGGTCCAACCCCAAATAAACCTCCTTCCAACCTTGCAAAACTTTTGACACCTAATCAGATGGATGATTTTTCTGACTTTTCTGACAGTTTGGATCCTTACAGCTGCCATTGATCCCATGTAGCTCCAAGATTGCATTCTTCTTAAAGGTCTGATCTGCTACTTCCTCTCCACCCCTAAATTCAGCATCCCCTACAACAACAGAAGAAACCAATTTTCCCAAGCTGCATCTGAACTTAAATTAAGCTCAGCTGAAGCCATTTCCAATTTATCTTTGTTAAATTAGATTGACTCACAAGGTATAAGTTGTGTTAGCCTTTTGGCTGTTTACTGTACTAACCCCCTTCTAAACTTTGTGTAATGATACTTCAGGTGTTTTTTTCACTCACCTCAAATCTCAATTTATCTTGATTGATATTGTCAATAAAAAAATGTCAGATCAGATCGGGGTAGATCTAGATTTGATCTGATTGCAAATGGATCTGCCATTTAAAATTTGTGTCCCGGTTTAAAAGGAGTGGGGCCAACTGGGTAGCGGCAGTTTGAACAGGGCCAGAGTGGAGCTTTGGTCAAATTGGCTGAAAATTAGGAGGAACAAGGGCTTTATTGGTAAAAGACCAGTAAAGAAGGGCATTTCGAAAAAAAATGGAAGGGAGGGTCTTCAAAACATCAAGAGGATAACTAGGTCTGGGTAATTGCCAGATTCGGAGGAAAGAAATCCTTGGAAATTCAACGGGTTTAGACTTAGACAAAGCCATGACACAGCAGACACAGTAAAGGATCCAAAAGAGAAAGGTTTTCAAGAAGGGGCAGAGCAAGTGAAAACCCCAGGCCCAGAGGATATTATGCAGATTGATATTACAGAGGGTCAGATTGGGGAGGCAAGTTCATCACCAATGCATGTCCACCTTTCTTAATTGGTGGCAGGGGATCTGTCTACACCAGAAGGGCTGCAGATGGACAACGATAAAGATGGGCTGATTAGTGAAGAAAAGGAACCTGAACGTGAGAAGAATTTGGTTTCCGATCAGACAGATGATGAGATATGGACGAAAAACACTCTCAACAAGCTGACTTTGAAGGAGGTGCAGGAGACTGAGTTGGAGGGGGAAGGGCGGCAGAAGGAAGAGGAAGTCTTCAGCTGACAATAACAAGGGAAGGAAGGCAGAAAAAGTTTATATTAGGAAGAAAAGAGTGATTGGAATTGGCACGGAACCTGAGGGATGAAGCAATAATCCATGAGGTGAATTCAGAGGAAAGGAGAAGGGGGAGGGGGGAAGGGGAGGAAAGGAGCAGTGAGAATCAGGGAAGGTTCATAACAACCGAGAATGGAAAAGTGCCAATTAGCAGGCTAATAGAGAGAGAAGTGGCAGTGGGCAAGTCCCTGGGTCTGTTCTTCTGGGAAGGGGAAGATTTTGCAAGAAAAGCCATCGAGCAGTTTGAAAAAAGAAAGGAGGGAGGAAAAAACAGAAGAAAGGAAAGGAAAGGGAAGGATAGAAAGTGGGACGAAGAAGGGGGTGAGGAGGAAGTGTTGGGTAAGGATATGTGAAGGAGTCCGGGAGGAGGGGGGAGGGGGGAGGAGGAGGGTGCTGAGCTGGAATGTAAGAGGGCTCAGAGAGAGAAATAGGAGAAGAATAGTGAGAAATCTAATTAGGAGTCAGAAGCCAATGTTAGTTCTGTTACAGGAAGCTAAGCTGGAATCTTTTAATGTTGCTTTGAAGGAGGAGATTTGGGAGAGAAAAGTGGGGAATGGATGGAGTTGAATGCTGAGAAGATGTCAGAAGGTTAGGTCACTTTTTGGGATCCAGGGGTGTTCAGAAAGACAGGTGAAAAGCAAAAATAATTTGGAGCTGCATACCATTTGCTGTTTGCTGGATCCTAGGGAATGAAACAGAAGAGTTTTTGAAGATAAATCTAGAAATGCTGAAATTCTTGTGGCTACGGTGGGGAACCCAGATTTTGCTCGTATCAGTAAATCAGATCTGGGGGAGAATTTTTGGAATATTATTGAATTTTGGTTGTCAGTTTTCAGCTTGTATCTCTAAATCTGTTTTGATTGTGAGGTGCCATCTTGTCACCTCTTAGTCTGTAATTTTTTTTTTTGATTAATGAATTTCTTTTTATTCTTCAAAAAGAAAAAGGTTTGGTTCAGCATAGGACTAATCTAGGCCTAACCCTGAGAGTTAGGCCCCCAGCCCCCCATGCCAAGTTTCAATCTAACCCCAGCCTGCAACCCCAAAATCCCACCTTAACACATGTAAAGCTTGAGAAGGAATGGGTCTTGTTCAGATAGAGCTCACTCAAGTTTTGTCACTACCTCCACAATTGCAACCATTCATAGGAACACACACATGAGAGAGAGTATTTGAGCAATAACAGCCATTCAAGGGGAACAATTATGTAGAGATGTGCAAGGGCAGCAATGGTACAGACTCTATGAGAGGAAAGGAATGCTAGAATATTCAAGGATAAGGAGGAAATTTCTGAATGTGTAATCCATAGGCTAGATTCATGGCTAAAAACTATGCAGCTATTCCTACCTTTCTCCACGGATGAAATCTTAAGGGATTGGGGCTGTGGTAGCACAAGATTTAGGCCTCATTCCAGTTGTTCCCATGGTTGTACTTCTTCCCACAATTCACTTCTTAATAACACAAATTCTTTTAGGAGGCTGCTTGGTGAAATGGGAAAATCTTGGGCTCACAAGTGTGAGAACACAGGCTTAGTGTAATGGGAAAATCCCCATGTTTTCCCATTTAATAAACTATGATACCTGGATATCTGTAAAAGGGTGCTATATCGTTTCAGATACTTTAATTTTTATTTTAAATTTCATATTCAACACCTTGTCCTGTTGTCCAGCTATGCCCCTACTGTATCTAGGTAAAAAGAGTAATAAGATGTATACCTCCAGTTTGCACATATAATGGGGTACCGGCGTGCTGCCTTAACAGTTTTTAAGTTGAAGCAGAAACAATGCAAGCAAAGCACGTGCCTCACCTAGTAGGAATAAGGTCCATAGTTACGCTTAGGCAAGTAAGTGGTTTTCATGGCTGCCTCGAAGCATCAACACAAAGGTTTTATACAGGGCACTCACCTAACTATTTAAACAACTGCCTGAGCAGTTGCATAGGTGACCAAAGAAGCTGGGCAGACATCTTTATACTAGTTTATACTATTTTATTATTAGATTGCTTATAGTATGAAGATACACTTATTAGGGTTCATACAGGGAGCTTACATCCCAATGAAGGATTAGCAAGGAACAGCATGCAGGTACTCCATTTATTTGTTTATTTTTTACACTAAAACAGGGGCTCTGCATTGTTTATTTTTTACTCTATTTATTTATTTTGGTCACCTGAAACACTAGATACACATATTCATGTGTATCAGATGTATTGATACTATGAACCATGGCGACACTAGTACTTTTTGTGTTGCACTTATAGTGCAATTAGCTTACCTCTTCCAGGGAAGAAAAAAGATGACATACCAAATGATGGCAAGGAATTCAGTGTTAAAAACAGTTATAGAGCAAGGCTTACCAATCTTCTTCCTTGACCAACTCTGCATTTGTTTGATTCTCTCCCTTCTTGTATTCAAGAGGACAACCTAGAAGAATAATGCGTGGATTCAATATCTTTCTTCTCATTTTTCCAGGTGCAACAACATCTTTGTTAATCATAACCCCTTTGAGAACCCTAGAATCTTCTAACTGGCAACCAGGAACCTTCTCAACCTTTATATATTTTTTAATATCTACCTCGCGCAACCCAGGGCCGACATCCACACCCACTGTCATAGTAGCATCAATTGCTAGATCCTGAAAACCAGGTAACTAAGCTCACCCATTTGAGGGAGAAAATAAATTGTGGTTGGACCAAAGTAGACTGAAATAATTCTACAACAGTGATAATGATATATGATTTTATAAAAGAAAATTGATAGACAAGTTACTCACAGCAATTAGATCTCCAAACTGACTGGTAAACTTTGTGGCAATACAACTCTTAACAAGACCCAGCATTGCAGGCCCTGCCAAATGTTAAAGGAGAAAAGTTGGAATACATGTACTATAGTGGAGCTCAATAAAAACAAACTAAGGGCATCAAGGATTTAATGCATGGATTTTGGATCCACTCTTCCCAAAACCCGAGATAGCCGGAACCAACATTGGGTAATGGCCTTTTTTTATATTGGATAGAAATAAAATGCCAAAGGCAAAGTCCATATCCAGTCCAACCCACCAAAAACCTCAGATAGCTGAGACTAAATTTGGGTAATGATCTTTAGAGAATCTATGATGGATGATATCACATACCAATAACAGGGGAGAAACTGTGATTCACATATTGCAACAAAATATAGACATAATTGCAAGAATTAAGGACATAAATAATTAGTTGTTAAATTTTGGTTGTAAAAAGTGCCGCTGCAACTTACGGTCATTCACATCAACTGACATAGCAATCTTGTCAAGCACAGCAATAGCATCCTCAAGAGCTTGGTTGTAAGCTGCAAGAAGGGGGAAAAAGTTGTAAGGATAATATAAATATCCAATAAAATAAGAAAATCCATCTTCTTTGACTTTGGAACTTACCTCGACAAATAACTGAAGGGTGATAATTCTTCTCAATACAAGCTTCAGAAACATGAAGCATCTCGCCAGCTTTCCCCAAATTACATTAAAAGGGATGAGCCATGTAAATCACAATAATTTATTTTCTATTTTAAAAATCAATGGGAAATGATAATTGCATAACTATTTCCAGAAAAGCAAATACCACCATTATAACGAGTCAAACTTCCAAATTAAGATGAACTACTGACCAAAACTTTACCTAGTTACTCTATTTAAAAGCATAATCAAGTGTTTTCCTAGCTAAGGTAAAAGAGTATAAGCTGCCCTACCCAAACAGGGTGTGCCATGTACATATTACATGCCTGATGGGTGCAAAAAGCATAATCAAAACAGTACCTATTGATCGAATTAAGGTATGTTAACCGGACCCAGAAAAAACAAGCAGCATAGTTGTGTTATTTAGTAGAAGTGTCCAGAAACTATGTACTCAAGTCAATGTACAAAATGCTTGATATAGACCAGGTTATGTCAAATGAATCCCAGCAAAAGTCGGGTCTTTGCAAATTGGGCCAAATACTGCCACTCCTACACATGTGTAAGGAAATAAATTATCTTCCAAAGAACACCTTACTGGAAGGGAGAAACTGAAAAATAACTTCGATTAGTTTCTAAAATGTCAATATTTGACTTTCAATTGCAACCCATACACTAAAAACAGCAGTACTGAAATATAGGTAAAAACATACCAAGAATTATTACAGATGTAGTCCCATCCCCAACTTCTTCATCTTGTGTGCGGCTTAGTTCAATCATGGACTGCCATTTCAGATAGGCACATGTTGCACCAAAAGTGAGTTTGGAAATCATGAAATGTGGGGAAGACTTTGATGAAGATTATAACATAAAAGACAAGGAAATCATGACATATTGCAAAAGGAATGGGTATAGTATTATGAACAAAGTCATATGCTGCAAAAATAGAACAAAGCAAGGCAAAGAAAAAAAGACAGATACCTTGGCAGCTGGGTGAGAAAGGTCCAACTCACGTAGTATAGCATTTCCATCATTTGTGACCACAATGCCTGGTGAAAAACATAAAGAACGCCTCATTAGTTTTGAAACTCCATTAGAAAGAGGTTCATTTAAAGAATCAGTTGTTCAAGGTTCACTTGAAAAAGTGATTGAAAAGAGAACTCCTTTTTCTATGGATTTCTTGAAAAGAGATTTTCAAATGAGATTTGTGTTGAAATCTAGAAATTCAACTAAAAGATCATGTTGATTTACAACCATTTGCTCTTGATGTGAAAAAGAGATTTTCAAACAGGATAGTGAGTTTACATCAATATTAGTTTGAAGATCTTTCCTGGATTATGTACATTATACCTACCATAATTAATTCAAAGCTTGAGCCAATTTTCCTTATTATAATTATATCTTTAAGGTCCCTTCTAATCAAAATTAATTATTCAAAGAGAGTTCTCCCAATTTTCATCCTCAAGTAGTTAATTTGAGGACAAGTTTCTTTCAATTGAGGAGAAAAGGCAGAGAGCTAAAATTCAAAATATCAACTGTCAAAATTCACTGTTTGGCTAACGAAACGAAAAAAAAAAATTCACCCTTTGGCTTGAATTTGATGTAACTAAAAATTTATCAGCCCCAATATCACATGATTTGGACATAAGTTAAGTCATGGCTTATCTATGGACAATCAACAAATCTCTGGGATTTTTCTAATTTTTTATTATTTGAAAATTTTAGGTATTTTAGGATTTATCCAAGCAGGCATTTTTAACAAGGTAATATGTGTATATAATAATAAAAAACAAAACAAAAACTGCATATGAGAAGTGTTTTAAAGCACAAAGGAAAGGAGCACTTTGAAGCCTACACCTCACTCAAAACCCAGGTGAGACCCCTTTTTTATGGGTAACAAGAAACTTTGTTAAATATGAAAATAATTGCTATGTACGACTAATGTTTAAACCAGTTACCAGTGGTAGCTAGAAAACGTAAGCCCACATTGTTCCCAAAAACACTTGCTCCCTATCACCCTATGTACCCCTTGTCTAGCAAGAGGGCCAGCCAAGCCATTTGCCAATCTTTGAATCAAAATAAATCTTGTGTTCAAAACTCTTGAAGGCTGCCTGGTGACCCTCATCCTATGTCTAAACCACCATGAGCCAGGTCTTTTATTTTGCATCCACTTTATTAGTCCTTGAAACACCTTCCACTTGGAGGTTTGTGATGTTGAGTAACCCGCTGTATCTCAATCAATAAAGTAATGCCAACAATTCTGCTTTCAGTAAGTTCCCATAGCCCATAGGTCTCGAGTAGATGGCCATGATAGCAGTATAGCACCTTAATAGTTTCTAAACACCCCAAGAAATGGAAGAATGTGTACTAGTGTTGGAAAAGTTAGAAGGAACTAACATTTTTAGAGGCACAGAAGATAGTCTCTGGTGGAAGGAATGTAAGGAGGGCAGATTCACAGTTAAGTCATTCTACAAAGCATTAATCAAAGAAGTGGGGGGATCAGTCCAGTTAAAAGGAGCTTGGGGGAATCCAATTCCCCCAAGGGTAGAGGCCTTTGCATGGTTGGTGGCACATGACAGCATTCTCACTACTGATCATCTGAAATCTAGGGGATTTCATATGGCAAGTAGGTGCTATCTATGCACGGAAGAGGAAGAAACTGTGTTCCACTTGTTCTTCTCATGCAGCGTAGCAAGCTTCATATGGAAGTTCTTTTCCTTTTTATTTGGGATGTGCGGCTTCCAGCCTTCTGTTCCAGCAGAAATTTTTGCTCTGTGACCAAAGTTCAGAGGAAGTAAGAAAGCAAGCATTGTTTGGAGATGCATCCCTTTTGCAGTATGTTGGTCTATTTGGAGGGAGAGAAATGGAAGAGTATTCGAGAATAGAGCCAACAATATAGAATACATGGTAGCTTCAGTGTCCAATCTGATATCAGAGTGGGTCCTCGGGCTCCCAGATTTCAATCAAGTCTCCAAAGTTGATTTAAAGGAAAAGTTCTGGGAGTCGCTCGAGTTACAGCCTTGTAATGTAGCTGAATTCTCAGTTTAATGTTTGGTCATGTAATTGATGTACTTGAAGTTGTCGGTCTGTCATCTAGACAACCAACGTGATAGGATGTAACCTTTTCTTTTAATAAATCTTCTTTCTTCTTGATTCTTCAAAAAAAAAAAAAAACTCCTGATGGCTCTGGGTTGCTAAGGCTACAGCCATGAAAGTGTAGTTTTACCCAGTTTACAGGAGGTGGGGTCCAGTCATAGAGAGGTGATTGAACTATAGATGAGGAGTCAGCTATTAGCCCCCACCCCCTTAGTAATATCATTTAACTATAAAATCAGCAAATAGTGCGGAAGTTTTTAGACAATTTGACACCTTGATCAAAATGTTTTCTTGTAGGTTTTTCTTTTTTTTCTTTTTGCTTTGTTTTCCATTTTGAAAATTCTTGAGTTCCTTTCTTCCGAAATCATCCATAGAGTGGCTGCCCTTATACACCTCCACATTATCTTGCCTCTTTTTCTACTTTGATTGAAAAAGCTCTTATCAAAAAGGTTTTGAACATCCCTTGGTGGAGTCCAGTCGAAGGGAGCAAACATTGAGTAATAAACACCAATTCAGCCGTCTCTTTTGCAGGGCATCAAGTGTGTTTGCCTTTTGATGGTAAACTCCCAACAGAAAGCTTGAATCTTTTGGGGGTGGGGCCCAACTAAATGTCTTTAAGCGGAAATTCTCTAGGGAGGATGACTGTAGGGACTAAGGCTCGAAAGGAGGCACAGGAAAACAATCCAGATGAATAAAGAAAATGACCATCAGATGTTATGGTGACAAGTATAAAACAGATGGAGGGGATTGGACAACAACCTTGATCCTTCCTTCCTTGGGTTGTTCTCTTTGGAAGAAAATTATGGAAATCTACCCTCTGGTTCAAAGTGGTTTGTCCCTTAAGTTGGATTATTCACTGTAAGATCTTTAGCCAAAAGACTAGCTAGTGAAGGTCTGGATAACTTTCCTGCTAATAGAATCTGGACTCAGATTCCTCCTCTCAAAGTGAATGCACTGCTGTGGGTGGTGGTATTGGACAAAAATCTAACTAAACAGAATTTGACAAAAAGAGGAATTCTGATTCAAAACATGATGTGTGAGTTGTGTGGGCAAGCAGAGGAGGACAACAATCATCTCTTCATCCATTGTCCTTTTGTGGCTGGAATTTGGAAACATTTTCTCTCATCGGAAGGTATTTCCTGGGTCATGCCAAATCAGGTTTCAGATCTGCTAAGGAGTTGGGTTTTGTTAGGCCTTTCTAAGCTGGCTAGAAGTGTGTGGTGGGCTATCCCTGCAGCTGTTATCAGTTCCATATGGGCAGAGAGAAACAGAAGAATTTTTCAGAATAAGAAAAAGGAGAAGGACTGTCTTGTGTCTGGTGCAGTGGGAAAGCTTGTATCCTGGACTGCAGGTGTAAAAGGCATACAGCCTAGGCTCTTGGAGTCTCAGTTAAGTTCTGTTAGTATATTTGAATTGTAATGTAAACTGAGTGGCAGTTCTCAGTCTTTACTCCCTTCTGGGAGGCCTTTGTATGGTTCTGATTTCTATTTTTTTTTATCAATAACTGTGAAATGTATTAATTAAAATAAGAAGAATTACAAAGCAAGGGGGCTAAACAATCTTAGCTCCCTATAACAGTCTGAGCAGCAAATACAATTACAATAAAGCCCAAAACAAAGAGTTCTTATTAACCCCTTGCCAAGCTAAACCATCTGCCAGTGAGTTTGCACTTCTCTTAACCCATTTGTACTGAATTTCAACATCCTTAGTCAGCCACTTAAATTTTCTTTTTTCGTTGCTGTACTTCCATATCCTTGAGTTATCCTCTTTTAACCAGTTCACCACCACTTCAGAGTCTCCTTCAATAATCAGCTTACTAATTTGCAGCTCCTTAGCTCTTCGTACCCCTTCAAGGGCTGCAAGAATCTCAGCCCTCAAGGAGTCTCCTTCCCCAATTGGTCCTGAAAACATAGCTAACAGATTCCCATGTTCATCTCTTATTGCTCCCCCTATTCCAGATGGACCTGGATTACTCATACTGCTGCCATCAAAATTCAGTTTAATAAAGCCGTTAGGTGGAGGACTCCGGCATGAAAGTGATGCCTTCTTAGCTGAAGCTAATTCTGCAATTTCCTTCCAGTTTTTTACCATATCATCTACTGAGAAATCTGCAAGCAATGCCAAAGTTTTCAGCCAATGTATCACCCTAATATGGATTACCTCCAGAATTACTTCCAAGGTTCTCTCCTTTTCTGAGAAAATCCGTGAGTTCCTCTCCTCCCAAACAGACCAGCATACTGCAGCCCTCATACATCTCCACATAACCTTGGCCCTTTTTGTTGGCCCACTCGGCATGAACCTGAATAAGCTCTGCTTCAAAGGGGGTGGGGATGGGGGGTCCATCTGCACCCAAACAAAGAGGTACACCACTCCCAAATGCTTTTAGTAAACTGACAGGAAATCAGTAAATGGTATTCAGACTCACCATCAGCTTTACAGAAACACACTAGTGAGGACACAAACAACTGTTGGGTCTTTTTCTTTGAAGTAGATCACATGTATTAACTCTTTCCAGAAAGGCTTCCCAACAGAAACTCCCAACCTTAGGGGGTATAGGAAGACACCACACCTCTTTAACAGGGAATGACAGACCCAAAGAAGGAGGTTGTGTTAGAGCTTTAAAGAAAGAAGCACATGTGAAAGAACCGGAGGGAGTGAGAGACCAAATTCTATTGTCCGTCTTTGTTGGCTCTAAAAAAACCCCTTCAAGAATGGATAGCAAGGATAAGATACAATCAAACTCTGTGTCCCTGATTTCCCTTCTAAGACCCAAGTTCCTGCTGAACCCAGGAGTTGAGTTAGAAGGAACAAGGAAGGAGGAGACTGGTTCATTTTTAAGAGTGGAAAGAGTGAAAAGACTCGAAAATTGGTCTTTTAAAGGAGAATCCCCAATCCAGATATGTTCCCAAAAATTGATGGGATTACCTGAGTGCAAGTCATACTTGATCCATGG